ATATAACTAACATTTTACAAAGAGATTTTACCTGGATGCCAGGTTCACTATAGCAGAGCAAAGGATTGAATGAAGCTCAAAGACCTATACCATGCCCACATTGCCCTGCCTCATGCCAACTAGCTTCCATTCTTTATCGTCCTACAGACATTTTGAAAAGAGGATATAACCTAAACCATACTGGATTTATTTTGATTATCCTTATTTAGACAATAAAAATATAAGTCTTAGAAAATGCAATAGCTGTGTGCAAAATAGCTGAATGATCCTGAAGTTCTTAAAGGGTTTGATGCATACTGCAGTATCTATCTGTTTCCTTGCCTTTCTCCATTTTGTGCAGTGAGTCTACAAAATAAAATGTTGAAGCAAAGCACTCTGCTGGTACAGGAAGAAATAGGTAAATGCTAATGTTGACACCCCCCACAGTATTTACTATAAAGACAAAGAAGAATGGATGAAAAAGTCAAGAGTTATTATCTTAGGATTCTTATCAGGGACATTTTTCACATGCTTATATTCAAGTTTGTTTATATCTAAATAAGTGTCCTACCATTTGACAGTCATGCCAGTCGCCTAAACTGAAGGTCCCCAGTGTCTAAGAGCTTACACAGGCACTGAACAAAAACACCATGGATGGTCTGTCCATCATGCAATGCCATAAACAACTGAGGACACTTCCAAAGCAGCATTGCTTATGGGCCCTATTTAACTTCATGAACTGATGTTGTGGATACTATACACTCTGTGTTGGCTATCAGTGGCTACCAGTTCTGAGTATGAACAGATTAGCAAAAACATGATCACTAATGATGCTTCTTACATAGTCACAAAGTACAGTTGACTGTGGGCAAATTTCTCCTCACTGATATCCATCACAAATTCCAGATGAAGGTCTAACACATGAGATGTTTCTAAAGGCATGGTGTTTGAAGAGGATGAGTAGGTGCAGATTCTTCGTAAGTCATTATTTCTGTCACTCTGATTAGAATAAAGGATTTATCATCCACACACTCTATAGCAGAGAACTAACAAAATGCTGTTTATGATCTTGTCCATGAATATTCATTGTAATCACTTTATAGTCATCAATTACTAGTAGGCACAGCAAGAACAATATGAACTCTGAAGATACAGATTGCAGGACTGAATAAATCATCATGTTTAAATCACATCACTAAAAACACTGCATATTCCTTTGTGGAAGAAATTGTACTTGATGCTCCACAGCAAAGTAAATATTGATGAGATTAAAAGAAGCAAAACTTAAACCTTGGTGTCTTTCCCTACAAATTTAGGTCAAGGAAGTAGTCTATGATTTGATTATGCAGTTTCAGTATTCACTACTTTAAGGCTAAAAGAAGGATTACAAACATGTGATTACTAAATTTTTCATTAATGTTTTAACAATGTAATGAGGTGTTTTTTTTATTAAAGTACAAGACAGTGCATCTCTCAGAATGTAGAAAGAAGGATTTAACTTTGTCATTATTTTTAACTTACCATCCATCCTATCAAGTGGGAGAATACATTGTGGTAATTCAGACTGTGACTGTGTTTTAATTAATTGTTGTCATAAAACAATATAAATCAGGATCAAAAGCTTCCAATGAACTATCAAGCAGAAAAGGGAACAGCCATACTTCTGCTTTTTGATATTGTCTCTGACTGAGTTTGTTACAGTCACTGTCAGATACTTGCTGAGTCTTTTGTGTTGTTTTGTTTTGGTTTTGTAGAGTTTTAAGGTATCTATGTTTTCTTTTTTCAGAATTTCTTACACTTTTAATTTTTTTAAAAAATGTACTAAGATCGGTTGCATGAGATCAAACAAAAAAAAAAAACGAAAAAATAATAAGCAGATGGGATGTTAAGCCAACTGAATATGAGCACACATCCAGGTTCCCGTCCAAACTTAAAATGGCTGAGTTGCAGAATGCTGTTGCTCGGTGACCAAATAGTGTCCTTTCAGCCAACGAGTTATCTAAACATCAGTGACAGAAAACTCCCTTCAGCTTCAGACCTGGCCAGGACAAATATTGAAGAGCATACTTATCCTTTCCAATTTTGGCAATTTTTATTTTCAGTCAGTTTTTGCATGCTCAAGTTTTAAACTTGAGGGTAGAAGCAAGAACCCCTGCAAAGTCCTGTCTATTATTTTGGAGAAACTAAGAGGCAGACCCTAGCTAGCTCCTCTAACTATTGACAAACTGTCTGTTGCAATTAAGTCTATATAGTGTGTCTAGTCTGCTGTTATGTACCCTCCCAGTTGCTATCTGCCTCTCTTTCATTAAATAAAGTAGTTAATTAGCCCAGGCATGTCCTCTCCTCTTTCTCTTTTCCTTTTTTGCTGCAGTAATGATGTCTTATTATCAGCAGCAATGGCTTAATGCAACATGAAGCAAAGCATATCTCACTAAAACAAAGACTAGTTCAGAATGTATCTCCAGCAACTTGAAAACAACATTCATAGGCAGTTCCCCATTTGAACCAATATACAAGCTTTGAATGAATAGAAAACACATTTTCTGTCTTTTTGGTGATTGCACCATGCCATGATGAAGGCAAATGAATGAATACATACATACATACATACATACATACATACATACATACATATATACATGGGCAAATGCATTTAGACAGACATTGGGGAAAAGAATAAAAGGGATATTTTATTTATTTTGAACTGATTGGAACTGTGATTGGCTGCCTCTCAGAGAAGGTGGAGCCTATAATTCTGTGTCAGGAGCAGCAGAAAATTTTTCATAAAGAACAGTAGAAGAGCTCATGAATTAAAATCCTATTCAACATTTCAAAATAGACTTGAATGGAACACAGAGTGCTTTAAATACTACACGGAAATCATTTCACAATATCACCTGGCAGATCACATTGTCTCCCATTAATATATGGAATCTTTACTGAAAAAAAAAAAAGAAACATGTGCCACGTTATTATCCCTGCAGCTGTCACTCTCTATTAGATGTCTTAGCAGTGATTCTCTAACAACCCCACGTTTATTTTTTGACATGAAAATATGGGTGTCACAGCATGTGAATGCTGGTTTGAATAACTCACACCCACGATTATCTTGGTGCCTGTTCAACCTTTATAAATTTTATGTTATTTGGAATTTTAATTACTCTTCAAAGGGACACATATTCTAACATATATAATGATTGTAATCAAATCTATTCAAGCATGAACTCAATGGACCCAAACAGAGAATGTATAGTTAACACACACACACACAGAGAGAGAGAGAGAGAGAGAGAGAGAGAGAGAGAGAGAGAAAGAGAGAGAATGAAAAACTTTCTAGCCAGCAATAATATATAATATAATCTACAGTATTTATATATGACCACGTTAAATAGTATTTTTTAAAAGATACTATATCTTACTCCCTCAGCTAGAATTATAATTCACTTTGCTCATCAATAAATTATTTTTCCCATCCACTCTTATTGGTCCCCATCCAAGTGAAACAAAGCAATTCCTCTCTGTAATACACTTCTGGTTCACACAGTTGTTAAGAACCCTGACTCTAAATGATGCCAAGCTGGTCATTTTCATCCAGCAAGACAGCTATGCCTCACCATTGTCTTTAGCTGCGTTCTGTACTACAGGAGAAAGCAAAGGCAATATTTACATCTATTTCCTGCAAACCTTTCAATACCTGAACCTCAAGAAGAAGAAAATAAAAACTTTTCCGTGTTTCCAGTTCACCTTTGTTTTCAGATTCCCCACACAAATTCCAAAAGAAACGTCTATCCTTCAAGCCACCATTCCCAATTAATCTTGGGAAGCCAAAAGCTTTTTCCAAACCTGAGAGTCCTCCAGATGGAGCTTGTTAGAACCCTTCATGCACCTCAGAGAAAGCAGAGCCTTCTCCTCCAGAAGCCTTCTTTTCTAACATCCTCAGGGAGCTGTGTACTGGGAAATAGTCGCCAGTTAAGGAGGGGGGGGGGCAGGGGGCAGAAGCAAAGCTCAACGAATCCCAGAGCTATACAAAAATACAAAGGGTGCCGGGGTAGCTCCTCCATCCCTGCTAGGTGAGTACTCATAATGAGGCAGCTGAGTGTTACAATCTGACCTGAGATCTTACTTGTAGCCCCCTGTTCCCGTCTTCTTGCAAAGGAAGCGGATGCTGTTGCATCCTCCCAGCCCCAAAGGCATATGCGTTTTAGGATGAGACATACCAGTCTCACAGCCGGTTCCTCGTTCACTACAGCTTTATGGGTAGGAGACAGAACCAACGGAGACAGAGGAACAAATACAGCATTTGATCGCACCCAAACCGTCTCTCTTTGTTGTGCATCGCTTAGCTGAGGAAGCTTCAGCGGTGCAAGTGAAGAAGGGGATGGGGGGCGGGGAGAAGGAATGTCCAAGACCTTATCTGACAACCAAACAATCCTGGCTAGGATCTCAGGGGGCGAGCAAGGCGCGCGGACTGTCCTGTGTCTTCCCCGCTGGCAGTCTCACAACAAAACTCGATACTGTTCTGGGGAAAACCCCCAAGCCACCTCACCGCCACATTCGGGCTTTGTGCCAATGAGGAGACACAGTAGCCCATCTATCCATCAGCATCACGTTATCAGAGCGTGTTGCTGGGCTTCCAGCCTGGCCTTTATGAGCCCTGGCGGAGGTAGGACACGCGCCAGCCTCCCAGCGAAGGACATGGGACAATGGCCTGGCCAGGGGGACACCAGGAGCTGGCAGACATGGTGAAGACAAGCTCCAGCTACCATCCGGCAGCTTAGCTCTGAGGCAAACAGGGCTGCCAGCTCTGCAGGTTCGCTGTTGCTTTAAAATAAAGGACCACAAAGACTTTCTAGAAGGGAAATCACGCCTGGCCACTGCGTCTAGGGAAGACTCGGGGAGGGGGCTGAGGAGGGGGTGGGGGCTAGGAGCCAACAGAGGCTCCAGAATCTCCCTGCCTTCCCCTCTCTCCGCCCTCCCTTCCGGGCTGCTCCAGCAGACAAATAACAGAGAAGGCGGCTCACCGTGGTCTTGACCCGCACGAAGAGCACTTGCTTGGCACCGCCGCCTCCCCCGCGGACCTCATCCGGCTGGCCCAGCTGGAAACCCTTCGATTTGACCCAGAATTTAAATTTGGCATTATCGGTAGAGCTTGACTCGGAGCCGTTGAGGAGCTGGACGATCCTCTCGTATTTCTTTCGGGTCACCGTCTTGGTCTTGCCTGAGTCCCCGTAAGTCCTAAGGCACCAGTCTTGGAACTGGCGGTACATGTCGCGCTCGCTCTCCATGTTCCCCCCGTGATGTCGTGGGCCGGATGCTCCCAGCGCACTTCGCACCTGTTCACCCCGGGCTCATGAAATATGCAGTCCAGGCCACGATGCAAGGACGCTAGGTCCTGGCCGAGCCGCGGGAGCCTGCCTCCGGTGGGGTGAGGGGGAGGACCAGGGAGAGAGGAGGAGGGTCCGGATGGGCACCAGCAATCAATGCCCTGTGCTACCCAGTCTGGTTCGTTCGTAATTGCAAAAGATGTCTCGGACGCTTTTCTCGTCCTTTCAACGGCCGGTCCGTTTAATACTGTGTGACCAGCACCGTCCCAACAGCAGCTGACCCAGAAGAGCTGGGTTTCTGAATAATTAAAATCCCATTCCTCGGTTTATTAAAAATCCCAATATTGACTTGAGGTGCTCCCTCGATGCCTCGCCCCAGGGTTGTGTACAGGGCAGGGCAGGTGGAGCGCAAGGCAGTCTCCTGGCGCGCGCCCCAGAAGCTTCCCCAGTGGATGGTCCAAGAGCCAGGGCTGCGCCTCTAGCGAGAGCAGCCCTCAAGCGAACCTCAAAGGGCACAGGGGTCCCTGGATTCTCCTCCTTGCTGGGTCCTGTTCAGCGTTGGCCCTCTATGTGACAGGACTAGAGAGACAGAAAGTTCTTACCTGTCATTGTTGGTCAGCCTATCAGATCCCGTTTTACAGGATTTTAAAAGAAGCCGAGGTATCCTAAAAGCGACTCAACATGCCATTCCTTCCGATGTATTAGGCTAAATTCTAGCTCGCAGGTAGGTTGTAAGAGTTAGGTTTCAGAAACTGGTCCAGTATTCATAGATACGTTATCGTAGTTCTGTAGGACAGATGGAGTACCCCAAACAGGGACGCGGTCCAGGGAATGTGGTAGCAGGGAGGCAGGCCGCTGGCTGGGGTTCTTCGGGAAGATGATGGTGTCCCCGAGATAGGACCCTCTGGGTTGTGCTGAAGTGGGTACAAGGCATGGAAATAAGTTTACGGCACAGAACCTTTTGCGTGAAATTAAAATGCAGAGAGCAGTCCTTCCCCCTTCCTGGGTTATAGTTTGCAGTTCACGCGGGAGGTTTCGGATGTCTATTTTCCCACTGCCACGTCATGGACCCCCCTCCGCTGCTCAGAGGAGCCAAGTCGGAGTTGCTCCTGACGATTTTCCCAAGCAAAGGAAGTCAGCGATCCCTCCATCAGGATTTCCACCCGTGTGTCACAGTGGCGCTGGAATCAGGAGTTCCAGTCCTGCTCGCTGCGGCCGCTCTCCTTTATTGCACTCCCTGCCGAGGCCCCCGCGGGTCGCAGGGATCTGCTCAGCCAGTCGGATGGTCGGACCCGCGCCGCGTTCCTTGAGGGGTCCGAGCCCACCCTGATGGCTCCTTATGGTCTCTGAGGCGAAAGCCCCAGTGGGGACGCTGCTCCGTCCTCCGCCCGCAGCCTGGTCCCGGTGCTCTCAGGCTGCTCAGTGGCTCCCGCGCGGCCAGGCTGAGATGTGTGCGTGTGTGTGGTCGAGCAAGGGTGTGCGGGGCGCGAGGTGCGGGGGTGCGTGTCTCCTGGAAGATCTAGCGTCGGCCTTAGCCGGGACTGACAGCCCGGGCGCTGCGCGAGCAGCTCCACACACTAAACCTCTCCCCTCACCCCCACCCCTCCCACTCCCCTCTCCTCCCACCCCCCACCCCTAGGCCCCTTCCAAGCTCTCTGATTGGCCAATGGGACAAAAGTTTCTGTGGAGACGGCTGGGCGCTGACGTCACGGACAGAATTGTCCCATTTAGGGATCCCGGGGGCAGTGCGCATGCTGCAGGCTGCAGGTTAGAGGCAGGAGGAGGTAGCAGCGGGCCGGGCGGCAGCCAGGTGGCGGAAAGGAGCTGGAGGCATCCAGGTGGGGGGACGAGTCCAGCAGGGTTTCCATGGAGATTTCCACTGGGTCTAGCCTAAAAACAGCAGATCAGCTGACACCATTAGCTCAGGACCTAATTACTGCTTATTGGAGCAACAAATGAGGGACAGGGCCAGCTGCAGAGGAAGAGGTTTGCCCCCGCCCCTCTGTCTCCTTTCTCTCCCTCTCCATAGCTCTTGAGTCCTGGATGAATTCTCATTAACTTGCAAGATTCCCACAAGTGCTCTGCTTCTCCTGAGACCACCCTTACTGCTTTAATTCTCTTCAGTTCCCCCTTCTGCATCAAAGGATGGTACAATAAATGGGCTGTCTTGAGTCCTTGAATTTTTGCCCCATAAATAGGGGTTTGGAAGAACTCAAAAGTGCCTGCTCTAAGTGAGGGGATAGCACTATTTATTGGTTTTACTGTTTGTCTTTAGAGATCTCTCACATTGTTTTTAGAACACCTGAGTATCTTAAGTACACGGATGTGTGTGTGTGTGTGTGTGTGTGTGTGTGTGTGTGTGTGTGTATATATATATATATATATATATATATATATATATATTCAAGTGGCAAAATATTTTGAATTACCTCTCTAGGTGTGATGTATTTCTCAAGAACAGCTCTAAAAGTTTTGTTTCTGGCATCCTAGATAGGGCATGATTCCAAGTAGAGAGGTGGAGGTTTGTTGTACATAGCCCTTTTTTTTTTCATAGACGTTTCTGTAAGGGTATTTGGTGCTAGGGTTCTCATCTACTCAAGAGTAAGTTAGTTCTATGGAGTTGACTTTGTCATAGATATAAGCCGGTCCATAGTTATGTGCTCTTGATAGGTCTTTATTTTAATAGGTCTTTCTGATATTTGAGAGGTCTTTATGTATGTTCAGAACCAGGAAGCACCCATCCTGGAGCATTCAAATTAAAATATTGTTTCTCTGCCAAAATCCCTCTTAATAGTGACTCTAAGGCTCTTTTATACTAAGACATATGCCTTACTTTGATATGTAGCACATGTATACACCCCTGCTTCAAAAAATTTGCGAATAAAAGATATCACTTATACTCTATAGTGGTATTTACCATTTTTCCTATTTTACTTTGTGTAGTACCAATGAAATTTGGTTTTGTTTGTTTGTGTGTTTGTTTAGGGTTTTTGTTTGATGGTTTTTGAACCCAGCAGAGGGTGACAGCAATTTAGAATTTGAAAATATTCTGTTGGGGCATAAAAAGCCCATTGTATCTGGTGTTTTGTCTACACACTTAACATGAATATGTTATCCACGTTCAATGAGAAATTTGATTGTATGACCCTTGAAAAGTCATATTCTCTTGTTTCCTAAAATAACTGTCCTGATGGATAATTCAAGTATCAAGTGATTAAGGAATGGATACTGAAGCTGGGAATGGTACTTAGTTCTGTCTTCCTGGTGCTCAGGAGGCAGAGAAATGAAAATTAGTGTTAGTGTGAGCCCAGCCTGGGGTATATAGTGAGTGCCAGATAATCTGAGCTACATACTGGGTCCCTGACAACGAAGAGAAAGGAGAGGAATAAACAAGCATCCATCCATGTGCTATCCCAATCTATTTCTAATGACTTTTGCTGAGTAATGTCTGAATGAATTTGGTACTCATTTAGTAGATGTCGTGGATGTACAGCATACACATATGAATTATGTTTATAAGTATCCTGACACCATTGTGTATGGACATTGGAGCACCTCAACGTAACTGACAGTGTACAAATAGGGCATTCACCTTCATTTGTATTAACTAGATTAGATACAGAAGTGAAAAGCCGCAAGGACTAAAATAGGCTACACAACATCTACATTTCTTCAGGGAAAGAAGTCAATAACTATGGAAAAACTATTCAAACTCAAACAAAGGAATTTAAGGGCAAGTCTTCCAAAACCCTATTGTGATCCTATTGTTGGCAATGGAACTAGGATGTGACATGCTCTGGATTTGTTTACATTATTGGCTGGGAAGCTTAGGCAAACACCTTTGGGAAGTCTTACCCATCTCAAGTGCAATCTCTAACAATTTAAACCCTACTTCAGACATCCACTCCCATTGATCTTCCTCTTTTTAAGTTCTCCAGAATTGGGTCTTCCGAGCTCCATTGTGAGAGTTAAATTGAAACTCTTCTTCATCTATATGATTTATCTGAGACAGCTGACTTGAATTTAATAGGTGATTGCCCTTCAGAATTACTTCTTTATGCAATTTACCTCACCAAACAGTGATTTTGCACTCCATATATGATACCAAGCAGAGTCTAATGCAGGCCCCAGTGGACTGAGGGGGAAAGTTGATAATAAAGAAGATAGAGATGACTGTGAGGAAAATACTCTCAAATTAATAATCCCCAAAATTCTAGCATAATATACCAAAAATCAGTATGACTTTGTTACAGAAGTTAAATTTATTTCAACCCTGTGGTCAATGTATACAACACAGAAAATCTTGCACAATATATCAACCAGAAATATTCATAAATCATTAGGCTCATCAACAAACTATGCCAAGGACAGCCCATACAAGCTCAGAGTTCAAAATAAAACTGCTTTGTTGGAGCATTTGAGTTACACATGCACTCAACAAATAATCATGAGAAACCACTTCAGTTGCTTCAGGGTTAAAAATTAAGATGGATACACATGCATGGTCTTCATCTCACAGTATTCATGTACCTCTAAGGAAAACAGAGAGTAAAGTAAGAAGTAACTGGGCCTTGGGGCTAACACTAGGGAAGAGAAGAGAGTCAGGAGATGGCAATGATGAGCAGGAGGACTTTGCAAGACTACTGAGTATATTTCTAAATGGGTAGCATCTCATTGAGAAATACAATGGTGTACAGCAACCAAGTATAAGAAGAAACTGGAAGAGAGATGACAAAGCATGTATATCTGAAAATAAAAGCATTAACATATTCTAGAAGATAAAAGCATTAACATATTCTAGAAGACCCTTGCCTCAGGAATCCATTAACAAGGAAAGAGAGAAGCAGAATGTGATGTTGAAGTCAACTTGGACAGCTAGATCTTGCAGGACAGTGCTTGTTATGATTGGGAAATGCTATTTCTCTTTTTATCATTGATGTAATGGGATATCAAAAAGATGTTTAAAGCATGACAGTCACATGATGTTGAGTTTTGTGAGTTTCCCTGGCTCCTCAGAGGAGAAAGGGTTGAAAGGGCATATGCATGAAAACAGAGATCCAGAGAAGAAACTTCTAGATATTGAATCAGATTACATGAAATATCATGTGATTTATTTTCATAATAACAGAAAGGTAGAAGGAAGGATGTGATGGGTTAAAGATGCTTTAGATATAGAACAGGTCTTATAATAGCATTATAATGAATGTTTGTCCTCCCTGTAGGTTCACATGTAAAAATTTTAATCTTCAAGGTGATAGCATTCAAAGATTGTGACTTTGGGAAAATTTCAGTGATGAGAACTCTACTAGTTCACTTTTCCCTTCCTATGATAAAACACTGACCAATATCACCTTGGAAAAGAAAGATTTTATTAGCTTTCCATCTCCCAAACACAGTCCATCAATGAAGACAGTGAAGGCAAAAATTCAAGGAAGGAGTTCAGAGAAGAAAATTTCTTTCTTAGTAGTCTAGGGCCACTTCCCAGTGGTGACATCAGATCAATAATTAGTCAATAAAAAATACCCACAGGCCAACCTGATGGAGAGAATTGTTCAGTTAAGCTCTATTCTAGTTTGTGTCAAGATGACAAAAATAAGGAAGACTGACATAAAGTTATATTCCAAATTTACCAGAATCATGATCTTCAACTTAATCCCCAGAAGTGTAAGAAAAAAAATCTATTGTTTAGAT